AATTGAGTTTATTGGTACATTTTAGGGATACAGTACAGTTACATTCATTGTTGGGATCATGTACCTCTACATGGCAAGTCTTGATTCTCATTTTTTCCCCTTACCTCTGCCCTCCCTTCACCCCCTCCTCCCCTCCCCATCTGAACTCTTGATGCTGTCAAGCTGCCATCCCTGAAGTCCTTTCCATCTTTATTGGTGGCAACTTCATCATTGAAACCCAAAACTTTGTGACAATTCTTCATTATCTCTTTCTTTTATACTTTATACTGAATTTATGAAGAAATTTTGTTGCCTCTTTAAAAATATGTATCCTTTTTCACCATCTCCACTGCTACCACCCTGGTTTTAATCCATGAGCAAATTTTTTCATGTACAATCAATCACCTTCTAACAGGTATAAACCTTTGCCCTGTACAGTGCAATGTCAAAGCCATCAGAATAATTTTGTTATTACCCTTTCTAGCCTATACGTTTACTGTTACTGGAGTTTTAACATTGCTTAGAACAGTGTTCATCAGACTTTTCTGTCAAAGCCTTTCAGTGGGAGAAAATATGAGCAATATAGCTCAGATAGTTTTTACTTTATAAAGTTAAACTTTCTTTAAAGTACTGCTTTTAAAAAACTTTATTGGCTGGGCGTGGTGGTGTACGCCTGTAATCCCAGCACTCGGGAGGCTGAGGCAGGAGGATCACTATGAGTTCAAGATCAGCCTGGGCTACACAGTGAGTTCCAGGTCAGTTTCAACTACGTAGTGAGACCCTGTCTCAAAAAACCAAAAAAAAACAAAAAAACAAAAAAACAAGCAAACAAACCAAACAAAAACAAAAACTTTATCCACTCTTTTGTATTCTTTTATTTAACTTGTCAGTATGTGTTATAGAAAGTGATTTATTTTCTCAAGCATTATAGAAAAATGGAAGACTTAGGAATAGAGTGAAGATTATCCTGCATCTTCTGGCAATCTGTTGCATACCTTGTACCGTACTGAAAAGACAGTCTTAGGATGAACAATCTTGTGTGATGTTTATCCCAAAACTGTATTAAAATAAAACATAGTCATCATATAGTTATCTCTGCTATGAGATGTAGTTGTCCCAAATCTATGGAAAATCATGCAATAAAAACTTTATGGCCTACGGGAGAAATAGAGTTAGAAGCGTAACCTTCAAAAACTTCATTGTTTACATGTTAAAGAAAAGAGGAACCTGATAAAAATATGGCAGTTTGCACACCCCGTATGATTAAGAAATGCATAAATATCAAGATAATAATGAACCTAACAGTGAAGAAACAGTAAAGTTGGCTTGTGGAAGTGAGCCTGGGAAGATTATAACTTATAAGTCATTGCAAAATGGTGGGAGGAGGTTGTCTGAAGTAGGGTGAAAAATTGAAGTACCCTATGAGGATGAATACAGTTCATAACACATGGGTAAACTCAGGTAATGAGCATGTTTAAGTTGTGCATGTGAACTTTTGTGGATTCTTGGCTTCTCTTCATCTAGATACAGTTTTCTTTCTTTCTTTTTTTATTTTTTATTTTTTTGCAGTGAGATTGTGTACAAGTAAAGGAGAAATTTGTATTAAACCCAATTATTTCTTAGTATATTAATCATGTTGAAGCCTGTGATTTTTTTTTCTGAGTCAACCTTTCCTTTAATAATTCCTTCCCATTAGTATGTAATTTTTCTTTCTAAAGTCTCTTCTTTTTAGAAAAGGGTTTTTTCCTTCAGCTCTTATTTTCATTACAGCCATACATCTTGGCAATCTTCACTCAACTTTATGCAGTGCTTAACTCTCAGCTATCTGGCTTTCTTGTATGTCTTCCATAACCAGTACAGGGTCTGGCCTGAGATATGTACTCACTGAGATATGTGTAGATGAGTAATTGAGTTTCTGCCCAGCCATCCAGATTAATTTCCAGGTCTTTGGTAAGTTCCCATGTGAGGATGGCTCTGGGTTGTTTTGGTTTCTTAGTTTACTTCACATTTGTGACTGATGTTATTGATCATAGGCTAAAACCAAATATAAAATATTTCAATAAAATGTATTATTCTGTCTGAGAAGACATGTTTCACTGTTCCACGAACTGGTTGTTATGGCTTGAATCTACAAGGTTCCCCCAAACTCTCATGTGTGTGCAGTTGCAGCTTTCAGCGGAAACTGGATCATGAGGACCTCATCAATAGGTCAATAGTTAATAATTGAATGTGCCGTAAAGGAAGTGGGTCATGGGGTGTTGCCTCTGGAGGACATATTCTGTGCTAGG